ATGCAGAATAAAAAAAGTTGTTTTACAATACAAAAAAAAGTTGTTTTACAATACAATTTACAATACAATTGTGCATACAATCCTAATCTGTGTATAAATTTTGTTTTCTAGTTTTTTAAAATAATTTTGCTTCTTTTTAGACCTAGATTAGACATTATACTATCCAAAAATTTTATATATATATATATATATATATATATATATATATATATATATATATATATATATATATATAAATATATATATATATATATATATATACATATATATATATATATATACATATATATATATAATATAATATATATATTGTATGATATTTTGTATTTGCAATAAAATACAAAAAACTCTTGAACGTATAAGAGTGCTCAATAATAAATAAGTAGGATTTATTTATATTATTTAATAGAGCATTATGTTAATTTATAAAAATAAAGAAAACAACTTTTTTTGGTACTAATAGTTTTATGCCTAAAGGCAATCATCAGCCATGTAATACAAAACAAGAAACAAAAAAAACCGTTAAAATATAAAGTTACAGTGGAATGTGCTCCGTCGTCAAAACAAAACAAAAACAAAAACCTAAAAACGGCTGCCTAATCACCCGTATCGAAATTCGAAAGGAGGAACTTGCTTTTATGGCTACATTTAGATACTAATTCATTCCTCTTATTTAATAAGTTATCATAGGTGTACGATATTATGAAATACTTTTCGTATAGACATAAGTTGCATCGTTTTATTGTGGGATTGTAAGATCTACAACGTTTTAAAATTTTCCATTTAATTGTCGGGTTTACTCCATTTTCCTTTAACTTCCATACTTCCTTAGACAACTCAGTATCGTTTTTATATTTTTCGATCTTAAAAGATTTTGTATGATTAGCGTATCTAAGTTTAAAAGCAGTTTCACTTACTCCAAAATACACTTTTTCAATCCCGTCTGGAGTGCCTGGATATAGAGTGGCTTGATACACTATGTTATTAACGAGACACTGTTGATTTAAAGGGCACTTGCTTTTAGTAATACAATTGCAACTTTTATCTGATTCTGGGGGGATGCTTTTCATAATATGACGGTTATGAAAGTTAACGATTGATTTGATGTTTGGCATACAACTGTAACTCACCTTTAGAGTATTTCTATTAAAAATCTTGTGGTATTTATGTCCAACTGGAAAGTGCTTGTCAATTAAATCCAAAAAGATTTTACCAATTTTAGTAGAAACATTTTTACTATATGGGGGGTTAAACCAGATAATATTGCGCTTACGGTTTTTTGGTAGAGGTTGAATGAGTTTCGGAATATAATTAAGTTTAAATTTGTAACCAGACTTTTTTAATGCATCCTGATACAAATGAGCAGAGCTTCGAAAGCTAGTGTCATTAGATGAATTAGCTGACAACCTTAATTCTATAGAACGAGGAAGTTGCTTTATTATGCTAGGAGGGTGATTGGAATCAACATGTATATAATTTAGTTCATTGATTGGTTTACAAAATGGTCTAAAAGATTGATCATTGAGATTAAGTGTTACATCAAGGAAGTTCACAACTTTCATGTTACATTGTATGGAGATAGAAAGATTGTTATTTTTAAAAATTTGAATAATATGTTTTTTTATCGTGTCCATAAGGTGGCCACTAGCATTTTTAAAAACCGCTAAACCATCATCTCGGTATAAGCCAAAATCTGTCTTGTTATAATGCTGTGATAGCTGAAAAAGAAGAAAAACTCCGACAAGCTCACATACTTCTGCGCCGTCAAAAGCACCCATTGCAACATCAAACAAACCACTGTTCTTTTTAATCCAAGGTTGCTCATTATTAAACAACAACGATTTTCGAGCTTGTTTAATTATAAGTTTGTCTTCGTTTTTAATGGTTACAAAATTCTCAGCAAATTTAATGGCATCATTCAAAAGACTTTCATTGATAGAAGGATAAAAATCAACAATGTCAAAAATTAAAAATTTATAAAAATGCTTGTTTTTAATACCTTTGAACCAATCTAAAACGTTTCGCGTGCTTTTCCATTGATTAAGAGAGAGAGTATTTTTCAGCTCAGCAATAACGTTGGATAAAATAAATTTACTGATCCTTCCAATTTCATTTTTTGCTGGATTCAAAAGGCGGACTTTCTATCTCCATACAATGTAACATGAAAGTTGTGAACTTCCTTGATGTAACACTTAATCTCAATGATCAATCTTTTAGACCATTTTGTAAACCAATCAATGAACTAAATTATATACATGTTGATTCCAATCACCCTCCTAGCATAATAAAGCAACTTCCTCGTTCTATAGAATTAAGGTTGTCAGCTAATTCATCTAATGACACTAGCTTTCGAAGCTCTGCTCATTTGTATCAGGATGCATTAAAAAAGTCTGGTTACAAATTTAAACTTAATTATATTCCGAAACTCATTCAACCTCTACCAAAAAACCGTAAGCGCAATATTATCTGGTTTAACCCCCCATATAGTAAAAATGTTTCTACTAAAATTGGTAAAATCTTTTTGGATTTAATTGACAAGCACTTTCCAGTTGGACATAAATACCACAAGATTTTTAATAGAAATACTCTAAAGGTGAGTTACAGTTGTATGCCAAACATCAAATCAATCGTTAACTTTCATAACCGTCATATTATGAAAAGCATCCCCCCAGAATCAGATAAAAGTTGCAATTGTATTACTAAAAGCAAGTGCCCTTTAAATCAACAGTGTCTCGTTAATAACATAGTGTATCAAGCCACTCTATATCCAGGCACTCCAGACGGGATTGAAAAAGTGTATTTTGGAGTAAGTGAAACTGCTTTTAAACTTAGATACGCTAATCATACAAAATCTTTTAAGATCGAAAAATATAAAAACGATACTGAGTTGTCTAAGGAAGTATGGAAGTTAAAGGAAAATGGAGTAAACCCGACAATTAAATGGAAAATTTTAAAACGTTGTAGATCTTACAATCCCACAATAAAACGATGCAACTTATGTCTATACGAAAAGTATTTCATAATATCGTACACCTATGATAACTTATTAAATAAGAGGAATGAATTAGTATCTAAATGTAGACATAAAAGCAAGTTCCTCCTTTCGAATTTCGATACGGGTGATTAGGCAGCCGTTTTTAGGTTTTTGTTTTTGTTTTGTTTTGACGACGGAGCACATTCCACTGTAACTTTATATTTTAACGGTTTTTTTTTGTTTCTTGTTTTGTATTACATGGCTGATGATTGCCTTTAGGCATGAAATTAATATATATATATATATATATATATATATATATATATATATATACATATATATACAAATATAAATTTATATAGATATATATAAATATATATATATATATATATATATATAGCACTTCGTTAGTAGCTACTCGTCTCTATACTTCCCAAATTGCAAAATTGGTGAGAGAGGGCATTGAACTACGTTGTGGTTCGAACAATATCGGCTTAGGATATTTTTAAAACTCTGAAATTTTAGCTTAAATTTAGAAATTAATCATCAATATATCAGCAATCAATTTTTAATCAAATAACCAATAATCAATCAGCAATTGTAATTACTCAGTGAAAACCAAATCGCATAGTTTATTAAACATTTTTTTGAATACGATGAAATATTAAACGTGTTTTGAGACAAGTTCAATTGATGTCTTCATTTATACTTTTATAATAATATAGGCGAGAGTTATCAAAATTGGAAATACACATTAATTACAATACTAGCATTTTATTAGTAAAATGTTTTAAAAATGTAAAGTTTTTTACGTAAAGATAATTTTAAAAGATATGCTATAAAAATTAACGTTCGCCATCAATTTGAAGCCTTTAATTTATTTAATGTTTACGTTTACAAACATATCTGTTTTCATGTTTACGTTAATTTGATTGTTGTGGGTAAATTACATTCCTGCGGGTTAATGCTATTAGAAAAAAAATGCAAGTAATGACATAAACTTATGTGTTGCTGCAAGCATGATGTAGCTGTGATATATCAAAATAGAACTAAGTTTTTTAATCGGATTGATAAAGTTTTTTTACTTAATTAGAAATAAAATAGAAGTTAAACAAAATAGTATTGACACAGTTTAAGAAAATAATTAGTTATAATATAATATAAACCTTAAAATTGAAATTTTATTTATAGATTTTCAACTATTAAAACAAAAGAATATTAACTTTTTGAAGCTATTGTACAATTTATCATTTATTGAATTTTATTTTGCCCTTGGGCAGATTTAAATATTTAAAACGACAATAGATTTTTTTTTTAAGAAAAAAAAAACCTACAATAAGTTTTTAAAATAAATTGTCTCTGTAAAGATAAAAAAAATTTTAATGGGTTTTTAGTTGAGTTTGTTGTTTGTTTGTTTTTTTTAAAAGCTGCTTTGTTCAAGAAATCAAATTGTTTCAATTTAGGTCACCAGTCTTGCCTTGATTAGAACTAAATGATGCTTTGACAAAATCAAACTTATTTAAATAACAGTGCGATTAGTAAAGTCAATAGTAATGGTTAAAAGTATAGTTGAATATTCTATTTGTATTAATCAAATCATAAATGTTTTCATAGTTAACCCATCATTGTTTAAAAAATATTTGATTTCTAAGTGTTCCGATTTAACCAACTCTCCCCAATATGAAAAACTCAATTTTTTAGTGAAAGACACATTAAAGATTATTTTAAAAACCGTATTATATATAGAATACATTTATGTAGTTATTGAAATATCCACCAAACTTGCGAACTAGAAGTTGTTTTAGCGACATTTCTATTTGTATAACTATAAGTTGTTTTAGCGACATTTCTATTTGTATGTAAAATTTTAACAAGTTATAAAACACAAAAATAGCAGTGTACTAAATAATTTTTTTTAGTAATAATTCTGTTTAATAAGTTATTAGAAATAAAGTTATAAAATATTGAGCACTATTGAATCCTAAAATTGTTTTTCACTTTAATTATATTACAAAAATGAAATCAAATAAATAAGTAA